GCATCTGGGTGACCAGCACTTTATAACTCACCTCCATTTCTGCTGTGATTTTCATGTTTGCAAAATGAGTATGTAAGCTCTTTGAGGATGGAATGGTTTTCAGTGCATCTGGTGAGTGTATCATTGGAGGGTTTCTTTTGATGAAGACCTTTAATAATAGCACCAAATCTCTTGCCAATGTGAGAAAATTTTGATATTCCTATTCAGTGTAGCTTTATGATGAAAAAAGGTGAATAAAACAGTTAGCCTTCTCTATAGCCCCTTTATGGGGGTGAACTGAGCCAACATGGGACACAGGGGAAGAGCATATTACTGCCTTCACATCTTTTGTTTTAAGATTTCCCCATTTCTTTCCTGGACCTCAGCTTCCTTCAACGTTCCCCACTGTTGCAGAATTAATCTTAGCTAATTGTATTTCTCAAGAATTCACTTCTGCCTCTGATGTGAGAGCTGATGTTATGTGAGGGCTGGTATTATTCAGCCCAGGAGTTCATATATTTTTGCAGGGTCCTCTTCAAGATTTGGGCACTCTTGGGGATCCAAAGGTGTAAATCTCTAATGGCTAATTTTAGCTCAGTGGTAGGCAGTGGATGGGGGCAAAGTCTTCTTTAGATAACAAAATCACACCATGTAGGTGACTTCTTGCTTTCAAGGCCATGTCTGCCCCACAGCTGGACCTCCTTGCCCTCATGCCTTGAAAGCTCTCTGCATGTCCACACCTGTTCCTGAAAGTGGGGCTTGTCTTTAGGTAGAACTCCAGTTCCAGATTCAGGTGAGTCAGGAAGAACCACTTTGCTACTACTACTGGCCCAGCCCTGAGTCTTATGGTCTAGGCTGAGATGAAGCCTTGATCTGAGCTTCTGGTTTTGTTCCCCAGTCCGAACTCCTGTGTTCATAACTTGCCTAATACCCAACTCCCTCGAAGATTCTCTCTGTCCCATTTTCCCAGGAATTAGAGCCCTGGGACCTGCTGCTCACTTTTCAATGTCCTATCTATATCCCCTTCCCCCCGTGCATCCTTATAGTCATGTTTCCTGGATGGGGTACACTGTCCTCTCTTTCCACGTGTGCTGAGGCTTCCTGAAGTCTACTGCTTACCCCAGGGTCACCTGACTGATGTCTGCTACTCTCTTAAGTACCCTGTATCTTTCCCACATCTGCCAACCATTCGTTTATTGAATGCTTTTTGGTATGCAAGACTTAATGCTAACGGCAGTTTGTAAGCGTTCTCATCTCAGCCGCCTAGATAGGTTGGTTCTATTATTATACCTGTCTGAAAGATGAGGAAGTTGAAGTTCAGAGAGGTTAAGTAACTTCTCTGATTTCCTATAAATAGCAGGTGGCAGGGCTAGGGTTATAATTCAGGTCTGTTTCACTCCAACCCGAGCTCTTTAACACTGGGCTCCCCTGCCTGCACGCTGGCTGTCCTTTCCCACCTGCCACTGAGGTTGCCCCAAGTGCCTGCTCTACCCGGTGGGCACGTGGTGGCCTCTTTTGTCCTGCTCTGTTCAGTAGGATAGTCCTGCTGTCCCTGACTGGACCGTGGGACATACATGGTGCAGATGACCATAGTCATGTGAGTCTCCACACACAGCTCAAGGTTCTCTCCATGAGCGCTTCTTGGGCACACAACAGGACTCAACAGATGAATGGATGAACTGGGTGGTAGCATGGAAGCTTGCTTTTCAGGGGATCTCTATACTGCCGTCTTACTGTCATGCTGACCTTAATACTCTCCCACAGGGAAAATCTCCCAGTACTAACGTTCATATCTTCCTGGGTCCAAAATGAAACCCATCTTTAATTTGGATTCTTCTTTCTAAATAACGAGGTTACTCAGCTCATTTCGTAGAGATTCTTCTTAGATCCTGCAGTGTGGGTACGTGGGGAGAGAGATGTATATGCTCTATTTTAGAACATGCTGAAGATCACATTTTGATAGCCAAGGTGGTAAAAGAGGTGGGCCTAAGCTTGAGTGTTTGCCCATAGCAAAGATATTTCCACTTAACAGAGGCATGAATCATGTGAGAGTCACACGAAAGAAATATCTTCCATTGTGTCGAGGGCTGGCTAAAGGGCAAGAGAAGCATCTAATGAATTTTACTGTGTGTGCCTCTTCACGTGTGGGTGTGTATCTAAATATTGATGTGTGTATGTGTGTGTCATGTATGTGTAATATGTACGTGATTATGTATGTGAGTAGGTGTATATATAGGTATGCATGTATGGTATGTGCGTATGAGCACATCTTTGTGCTCATATGTATGTGGGTATATGTACATGTGTTTGCACGTGTGTTTATGTGTATGTGACCGTATGTGTGTGTGTGTGTGTGTGTGTGTGTATGTGTGGGAAGGGACAATCAGACTGACTGAGATGCAAAAGTGAGCAAATACTGAGGTTAGGCTCCTACTCTGGGAGTTTGAGTGGGTTGGGATGAACTTGGGCTTGTGAGGAGCGTGCAGGCATGTAATGAGTTTATGATGGCTAGAGCTCATTATCCAATGGAAATGATCTTGGGTGAGTTCCATGTGTAGTCAGATAGGAAATAAAGTTGAAATTTAAACGCTGTGGCCATATGCTTATAACATGACATATTTATAACTAAACTGACTTACAGGATCATAGTTACCATGGAATTCAGGGATTTAAGATATAGTAGTCTCATCAAAAAAAGACCTGAATCAGGAGGTTCAAATCTTTTTTTTTTTTTTTGCTACTTACTAGCCATGTGATTTTGGGCCAGTCTGTTTTCTCAACCCTGTCATGATAGGGTTAAAATTACCAATCCTAGCCTCTTCCACAGGCCTAGGGCACAAAATTTAAGGGTTGGTATGACATTTAAAGTAAAGAAAATGAGACCGCATGTGTGAAAAAACTCTAGCAGCTGCAAAGCTCTCTACAAAGATAAATTGTTCTATGTCTGGCCTTGGGCTCATTAGTGTTTTCAAAGAGATCACAATTGTTAGCCAGGGCAAGGAGACCATAGTTCTGCATGAAGTTGTCTGGGCGGGTTTCTCTAGGCCACCAAACAGCAGAGAGAGATGAGCAGATCAGCAGTTGTTGTGGGTGTGAGTTGGCGGGGGTTGGGGGGGGGAGGCTCATACTGGCCAGTGGATAAAAGCTTTGTCTACCTCAAAAGACAGACTCTTCGTTCATGAGGAGCTTATGAGCTTGACAAGATAGATACCCGCTTCTGATGTTTTCGAAAACACACAGTGAAACAGATCCGATTTATAATCCTAGTCAATCCTGGAATGAAATGAGTCAAGGAGTCCAAAGCAGTCATCCTGAGCACTCTGAGAAGACACAACTCTATAAGCAGAATTTTGATTGAGGGAGATTTGGTGGCAGGTGAAGCAGCAGGCTTTGGGACTGGGGAAGAAGCCAAGCTATGTCACCGTTTTCAGCTAGGGTAGGAGGGCCTCCTGGCTACTTGGTGGGCTCTACTCAAGGAAAATATATACTTATGGTGGGCAGGGGGCAAGAGAAGATGAAGCTTCTTCACAGGCTAGTTCCCAAGACAGTTGCTCCTCTATTCTTTTATGATTCGTCCTCTTAAGAAGATGGTCTGATGAAGTTCTTTCCTTTTGATTTATTCTAACTCGGATTGTGTACCTGGGAGCTGGGCCAGGTGCCTAAGGCACGAAATGTAAGGAGCCACCCACTCTTATTGTCTCCCTGAATTTTGCATCCCAGGAGGCTCGCTTGCCTCACCATCATCCAGGCCCTGCCTGGAAGACAGGTTAAGACCCATCCACTGGAAGGAGGGCCAGGAGAGCACATTTTCACTTGCCACCACCATTCAGCTCCCTCTCCCCCAGGTCTCCCTAAACCCTATCATGTTGGCCAGGAATCTTTCTGGGATATGGCCACCTGGGCAAGAACTTCATGCTGGAGGCTTCAGCAGGTGCTGGTGCCTGAAAATATTTTTCAAGAACAAACACTCAGGGAAGGGAGCTGGTGCATGAAAATATTTTCAAAAACAGCCACTCGGGGAAGGGAGAGAAAACACGGTTTTGACAGGGTTTGAATCCAAAGTCCAATTTTACCAGATTACATCCGTGGCTCCAGGCTTTCATTTCCCATTTCCTTGAAGTCCTGAGTGAAGGTGGTGTTGGTAAAGTGGGATAATTGTAGGCTGAGGATGGGACAGAAAAGTCACGGAGAAGAAGAGGGGGTTGAGGCACTGGAATGCCCGGGGGACCATGGCAGAGGGGTGGCAGCAACTGGCTTGGAAATCTACCAGGTAAGACTTGAGAATCTGCCCATGAGATTGGAATCTCCCTGTTGGACAGAGTGGGCCCTGGTAACCTGTTCTTCTTGGATGCATGCCATTCCCTCCTTCCTTATAGGGTTAGCATCTTGAAGACAAAGAAGCCATCAACAGCCTTCTCTCCCTTCTCTCCACTCCCACTCTCACTGTCTAGGGAGCTCCCGTGCCCCTCCCTCTACCTCTATTGAACTTTCTCCTCTGCACATCACACTGTCGGGTTTTGGATGGCCTATGCATGACTGAATTCACTTTCGGATCTTAGAAAAATTCAGTCACTGAATCAAACAGATTAAAATACTGCACCAGTGGCATACAGTGTCCCTGAATTTGTTACTTTGCAGTTAAGGAACTTGATCATTTCCACACATACCATTTTACATTGACACAACAGCTCCATACGCTGAGCCATATTATTGTCCCCACCTGATGGATCAGGAAACTGAGGCTCAAAGACACTGTCTGTGCCTAGGGCAGCCGGCTAGTAAGTGCTGAGTTTGGGACCAGAACTCAGCTCTTTGGATTCCTACTCCAGAACTTCTCTACGGACCCTATTGCCTCTCCAGTCAACCCAAGGGTGGATCCTGCAGCGCAATAAGAATGCTTTCGATCAGCTTCCCCCAGAGTTTTCTCCCATCCTGACCATCTTTTGACTTTACCTTTTCTGGAACCCATTCCTCCGGCTCCATCACATCCTCCTTGTCCCCACACGCAATCAGACCCTCACCTGGATGGTTCAGATGGGACACTATTAAGTAGATGGTGAAGTCCAGGAAGGAGCAGTTGCATTTCCATGGGTTTCCACTCAGATACAGGGTCTGTAGTGTTAGGAGGTTTTGGAAGGCAGCATTGTCCAAGGTCTGCAAGCCGGTGTTTCTGAGGTCCAGGTACCTTAGAGAGCTGGTGTTGGCAAAGGTGTACTTGTTCAGAGAGAACAGGTGAGGGTTGTTGGAGATGTTCAGCTGCACCAGGTTGCTGAGCATGGAGAAACTGTATGGGGAGATCAAGGTTAGGTTGTTGGAGCTGAGATCAAGGTAGATGAGTTTGAAGACCCCGATGAAGGTATAATCCATCACCTCGCGAATCAGGTTATTCCGACAGTCCAAGTAAACAAGGTCACTGAGGAGTCCTAGATTCATCGCTGGCAAAAAGGTGATGCGGTTATCATTCAAGTATAGCCTCCGAGTGCTCAGGGGTACATCAGGGGGGTACTCGGCTAACTGGATCCCTGTGCAGATCACTTCCTGGGCTTGACACTGACAGTTATTTGGACACTTTGACCCCGAGACCAGTCCCATTCCAAAGGAAAAGAGTAACCACCCGGGCCCAGGGCCTGAAGCAAGGGACATAGTAAGAAGCCACAACTACCCTCCTTCCACCTTCCTGCGGGCGCTGTCCCTCTGATCGGAAGGCTGCCGAGGGGCGGGGTGGGGGAGGAGTGGCGCTGGAAAGAACTGTAACACTCTAGCTTTGTGCAAAGCAATTTTCCATTACAGGAGAACTGAGAAGAAGTTGAAACGCGAGGCCCAATGCCCCGCCGCCCGGCTTGGTGGCTCGGCCGCCCGCTCACTCCCAGACTGCTGCTGGAAGCTTGCCCGCTTGGCGGCTTTGAAAGGTCTCACCCTTTCCCTGCGTTTGCAAGTGAAGGGGAGCCAGGGGAGAGCCACATGACAATGAGCTTGCCAGTTGACACCTTTGTGATGTCAGCAGCCTCAGGAGACTGCCTGGCTGAGGGAGGGAGAGTCCTGCCTCTCTCCCCTTCTGGGTGGTGTGGGGGTGTTTTGTGTATCTCGGTAAGCTGGCTGTCCCTGGGGGAATCAGGGCCTGCAGTGTGGGGCTGGGGGGCTGTGCTGGGGTTCGTGTGTGTGTGTGTGTGTGTGTGTGTGTGTGTGTGTGTGTGTGTACCAGGTCCCTAAGAGGTGTAGTGGAGGATTAGGTTAGCTTGGATCCCCTAATCCACAGGCTATAGAGGGACCTTGGAAGTAGCTTCTTTACTGATGAGCAAAGCGACTTGTTTTAAGGTCAGTTCTCCGAGTGGGTCCTTTCCTTTGTAAATGAATTTGGACAGGTGCCAGTTTTTGGTGGTGTTGGGAGAGTATGGGAAAGGGGAGCCTCCTTTGAAATGAGGAAAGGGAATTCCTCTGATAAGGTGGTCCTCTTCAGATTGCTTTCCTAGCCTGCCTACAGCTCTGTCTGCATTTGGAATATATATGTGTGCTAGTATTTTAAAAAGCCTTTAGAGTAAGTATAAGGTACTCCCCTCAACCAAAACCCAAATGTATAAAAAAAATCCGAGTGCAATGATATGAACTATTTCTTACCATTACTATTCTTCTAGACTTTTAAAATAGTGAGTGCCTCTCTAGAGCTCTAGTGGGAGTTTATATTCATTAACTATTTGAGGGATGATGGGAGGGGGGGTCTTTGGGGGGAGGGATAGAGAGTCTGGAAGCTTAAGAGTTAGGATGTATCATTTACTCCATGGAAGAAGGCACATTAGGCAGAAATGAAGAAAAAGCACCTCAGGAATTAAGATTTATATTTGGGGGAAAATGGGATTTGATATAGAACTTAGCTGTGACTATTAATAAAATAATGCAACCTATATTTAGCTTAGCACAGTACCTGGCACCTGGTATGTAATAAATATTTATTGAATGAATGATGCGTGAATGTCTCTGATGGTTTGTTCCCTTCTCTTGCTTCTCTGCCAAGACAGAAATTAATAAACTCAAGTGGATTTGTGGCTGGTTAGCTAATGCTTGATTATGTTTACTTACTCAGCATTCCTAGGGTGACTGGCCGTGAATTAAGATGATGACTTAGGAGTATTTACCAAATTGAAAGTGACCTTATTTAAGTAGAAATTTCAAACACTTAAAATAATGACCCAAAGGGTAGTTGTACTCATTGAAGCAGCATTTTATTGATAGGGGAGCCACCCTTTCCTTATAATTAAAAAAAAAAAGTTCCTTGCTAGATCTTAGGTGATTGCCTGGGAGAGGAATGCGGCCCGTGAAGGCTATGGGGGAGGAATTAATTTCCGGAGTGATGGCTTCTCCCGGGTGGGGGGGGAGGGGCCGCGAGTAGGGGGTGTGGCTTGGCGGGGGCGGGGGTGGGGAGGCTGCTTTCCCAGTGGGCTGGGTTTGTCATCTGTTTCCTTCTGGTGAAAGCTGATCACTGGTCCGCCAAAGCTTATGGAGTGATTTTGCCCACTTTCCACCTTTTCTTTTCTCCCTCTTTCTGACTTCTCCTTTCCAGAGGAGCCAGGGTCTCCAGGTTTCCCCATTTAATTTCTAGCCTCCTCGCGGGGCCGAACTTTCTCCAGGCAGCAGCCTCTGGCTCAGGCTTAGCTTAGGGCAAGTGTTTGGCCTTAGGAGGGCAAGTGCTCTCACTTCGAAAAGCCTCGGACAAATGAAGCACACTAAAAGTTATTGGCGACGCTGGTCAGCTATGTCTCTCCCTGGAACATTGCCATTTTAACAAAGCACCGGGAATAGCTGTCAAGGCACAGCCCTTTTGCCCGAGGTAGCTGTGTGTGTTGTGCTCGCAAGGTCTGCATACCCACAGACTGGTTTCAGCTTTGCCAGGCTAGACCAGATCTCTAAAGTGCGTTCCGCTTTTCGAGACTGAGTACTATTTGCTGAATAGAGAATGAGTGGACTAGACAAGAGAATAGAGAAAAAACTAATGATGTGATGTATGGTGATTAACATAACATAATAAAAAAGAGAGAGAGAATAGAGAATGTAGCTGATTCAGAACCTTTAAACCTGATCTCAGAACCTTTAAACAATTTCTCTTCAAGGATCATCTGTGAGACTATTATTTCAGGGTTCCTGCTTTGTAAAGTTCTGAGCTAGGCTGTTTGCCCTTGGCAGAGTTGCTTAACGTCTCTGGGCTTTATTTTTCTCATCTCTATATGGAGGGAGGTGAACTAGAGAATTTCCAGCTCTCCTTAGGACTTCCAAACTCTTATAGAAGTGGAAGGTCTCAGGCACCGCAGGGAGCCACTGGGGGAGGGAGAGAGGAGAGCCTTCCTATTCCTTCTGCTTACACCATGTGGCCCCACTTGGTCAGGTGGCTGCAGAAACAGAATTTGCTCTCCCCAGTGAGCCGCTCATGCAGTTCCGGCAGCAGCTGGGTTGCCCTTAGTGTTTACAGCTGTTTGATGAGCCCACCTCTGCCCTACCTCCACCGGGTTGGGGTGGGGCATCCTTCCATAGTACAGGTGGGTATCAGGTGAGCACACTGTGGAGCACCTGGTTATCAGGTTCAAATTCACTAGCTGGGGGGCTGGTCTGGGCCGGCTCCTCTTTTTAACTGTATCTGACAGAGTCACTGCCTTCCCCACTTTTGAGGGTCAGTGTGCTTCCCACAGCCTCTCATGACCCAGAAGTCCCTGATGTTAGAAGAGGAAGGGGCAAGGTCAGGTAGAGCAAAGTGCACACGACCTAGGCACTCTGTTTCTGTCGCTCCCAGGGCCTTGATTTCCTTTCTATAAAACAAGGCAGGATGCGCTCTGAGCCACGCCTCCATGTCCCCCCCACAATGTAAAGTTCCATCAAGACCCCGCCTGTGCAGCGGGGGACAGATGCTTGGAGCCTTAGGCCCCAGCACTAGGGACAGAGATTCAGGCTGCCTGAGCCCTGCTCAGGAGATTGGACCCTTACAGAGTGCAGGCCAGGAATGTGACCGTGTTCCCCAGGGATGCCTTTGTTTTCAGGCTTTCTCCACATGATACATTTCTGCAGCACTCATTCTCCAGAGGAACCCAACGGAAGTCTTGAAATGGCATACCATTTTGGGGGAATTGGATCACATTCTCAGCTTCTAACAAACCTATATACTCTTGCCCACGGCTAGGCTTCTGTGGACTGGTCATGATGCCTGAAATTCGCACTGTGACTTTGCCCGAGCCCATTGATTTGGGAGGAGAACACAGACTCTCTTTCACCTTGGAAGAGACGACTGTGGTGTTGTAAGAGCTTCAGAAGGAGAAGCCTCCTCACTGAGTGACCTTGGGCAAGCACTTCAGCTTCTATGGACACGTCTCCTTTTTGATAAAATAGGGAATTCGAATCTTGCCTTACCAGGGTTGTTCTAAAGTGATTTAATACAGCACAGCGTCTGCCGTTTACTATACAGCCTGTCAGGCATGTGATCCTCCCAGCAACGTCATGAGTCGTGTGGCTTGACCCCATCTTATAAATGAAGGAAAAGAAACTCTAACAGGTGCCAGTTTGTCCAAGGTCACAGAGCTGATGGGTGATGAAGGTAGGATTTGGCAAAAGTTTTACTCCTGAGGGCACGCTCTTAGTTACTAAGCGATACCCCCACCACAGATGCAAATGCCTCAAAATGCTCATTATTGTTTTTACAGGCTCCATGGAATGAATTGTCCCCTCCTAGGCACTAAATGGTCCATTAACTTCAGACCAGATCAAACCACCGTTGCTATGTGACCTATTTACACTTTGGGGTTCCTCGCCTTTCAGAAGCCTTCAACACTTCTCAGCTTTAAAGTCTTACATTCACCTTTGATATTGTTTTGTATAATTTTCTTCCTTTTGCAGGCAAGGAAGCTAAAAGGAAAAACAACTTTCCTAAGCTCACTCAAAGAATGAGTGGCAAAGCCAGCAACCGTTGACTCGTCGATGCCTCAGGTGACTCAGATTCCCTGTGTAGCCACTTCTGTAAGGAGAATTCCTTCCAAGGTAATCTGGAACATGCTATAGCCATTGGCCAGACCACTGGGCATTTCATACTTATCAAAGCCGCAGATGGTGCATAACCACTCTAGTGGAAATGTCTCTATAATCCAGCATGGCTACCCTACCCCCGGTCTGCCCTTGGGAGCAATCTTCGACACTGAAATTCTAAAGCAGTGGAAGCTTTGGCGGTCTCTCAGAATTCGTATCTCTCAGAGGCTCTGGGAGGTTAGGAGGAAGACCGAAGGAAATTGAGTCCTGTCTCTCCTTCAGCATTCTTTGTGGATAGATTTTCAGGAAAATATGTTCTGTGAGAAGTAGAAACTTGGAGCACAAGTGCCTCGGGCATTGGGAGAGGTTTCCCCACTGGGTGCCATGGTGAGGCGCCCATCTTGGCATTTGGCGTAGAAATGGAGGAGACCGTTCATCCTGAGAGAGCCTGGTGAGAAGATCTCTAAGTCTCAAAGTGTTCCTAGCATCTTTGAAAGGCTCTTAGTGTTTTGGAAGGGCCGGCTGTCAGAGGGACATGGAGTGATACGGATGTGCCATCGTGATATTCCCAGGCTGAATGGGGGAGACCCAGGGAGCTCCAGGGAAGAAAGCTGACTCGACCATGGGCCTTGCGAGGAGCGTCCATACTTCTCATCAGAGCCCACGAACCCGCTCCCACAGCCGGGTCTTCCCAGCGTTTCACTTCCTGGGCAGACTGAAGAAGTTACGTCTATGGTCTGGCCATGGTCTCAGTGATACCCAGTTGGGGGAAAGCAGATAGCAGAGCGACGGGTTAACATTGTGATAAATGCTTTTGTTCCTGTCGCCAGGCAGACTCTCAGTCTGAGCTCTTCTGCACGAGACTCCCAGTGTCCCAAGTGTCAGGGGCAGGATCACTAACCTGTCGCAGGGTGCAAGTAGTCCCCATTTCACGGAGCATGCTATCTAC